CATGGCAGGAGGAAGCCTCAGGCAGAGCCTGTTGCATTAGGGGTGGCCACAGGTCTTGGGGAACCAGGGAGGAGGTGAGAGTGCGCTGGGGGCCTGAGGCAGGTACTTCCTGCACTTAAACACACAAGCACATATCCTACATGCATGTATAGACAGGGGCTTTGGGAGACGTGGCACTCATCAAAATTACTTGAAAATAGAAACTCATGAACAAAAACAACTAAATGCTTTTGTTTTTAACACGCACTCACTGTGGGTTATGAACATCAGACCAGCTGCACCTAGGGGACTGGAGTGACATTTCCCTGGATCCCTTGTGCCGCTTTTTAATATTATTTTCTTAGCCTTGAAAGGAAATGGTATTTCCCTTCTCCCTTCTTTGCCTCCATCCCACCCCTTAGAGATTCCCCGTACTAGAGAAAACACCTACACTTAATAAAGTGAGGAGAAGAATACGAAAGGTCCACTGGATCCACTTCAGCTTTTTGCATTCTCTTGCCTTCCTCCCACTGGTTTTCTGCCACCAGGTCCAGCATACCAACTAGAAACGCTCGTTACCAGTAGTTCTGCCCATTGACCTCAGCACCTACCTCCTTCTCTTTTTCTTTTTCCACTCTGAGCAGGCAGCCCAGCTTCCCTGGCCGCCCCTGACTCACAGCCTTCTCTAAACTCTTTGCATGTGTACCTTCTGTATTTGGCCTGTGGCCTGAGATTTTACTGCCTGCTGATTACCCGTTTACATCCCTGCATATTAGAGGTGACCTTGGGCAGGGTGATGAGATGTTTTTGAGGTTAGGAAGTCAGTTTGAAGAGTATACTATCCCAGGGTGAGGAAGTCACAGTCTTGCCTAGGAAATTTATTCCCAGCGCCTTCCCAGAGAAGCAGTTGATTTGCTAGTCCCTTACCTCTTACTCCCAGGCAAGAGGAGAGAAACTCGCCTCTTGGCAAGGCCACTAGGTGGAGACAAGTGAAGTGGGAGGTGTGGGCCTTGCCCTGGCTGAGGGTCTGCATTTCTCCTTTTTCCCCTGCAGCCCTGGCCCGCCACCGCTACATGAAGCAGGCTCAGGCCCTAGGCCCTCAGATGATGGAAAAACCCCTGTACTGGGGGGCGGACAGGAGCTCCCAGTTTTCATCTTACCCAATGAACCAACTGCTGCAGCGAGGTAAACCTTGCCAGAGACTTAGGGTGGGAAAGGGCAGAGGGTAAGAGTAGGAGCACGGGCTGCCTCTGGGCCTTGCTGACCAGTATGGTGGGTGTCTTTATGAATGAGGATGGGAGGGGATGCATGCATGCTAATAATGTGGCATTTTGGTGCCCCGATTCTGAGGAGCATGTTATGGGCCAGTTTTTCTGCATGTTCTTTTCCTTGTTTCTATACAGATTGGTCCCTGCGATCCAGCCTCCCACAGATGCCAATGACCCAGACCACCACTCAACCTCCCATCACCAACGGAGTCCTAGAGTATTTGGAGAAAGAACTGCGGAACCTCAACCCGGCCCAGCCCCTGCCCCCTGACCTCAAAGCCATGTCTGGCCAGCCCCGCAGTATGCTGTCCTCCCTGGGCTCAGAGGTCGTGGAACGCAGAATCATCCGCCTGCCTCCGCTGATGAGAGACCTGCCGTCTTCTCGGAGGACCAGCAACTCCTCCCACCAGCAGTGGCTCACCCCAATTCCTCCTGGACCCTGGGATCTGAGGGGGGACAGAAGGCAGCACCACCACTCTGATTTCCACCGGGAGCTACAGGACTGGGAGCCTAAGCTCTGGGCCCTGGAGCGAAGGGACCTGGACCAACTTCGCAGTGGAAGGCACCGCAGCACCAGGCTGAACGCGTCACCCATGCCTTGGTCAGACAGGGACAGCCTCAGCGATGTCCCTTCGTCCAGCGAGGACCGCTGGAGGTTCAACCACCTGCCTCTCAGGAGCCGCTACCCAGAGAGACCCCGCAGGCCCAGCCCCCGGGAGAGCGCCCACAGGCACCAGAGGCGCAGACACCGCAGCTACTCCCCTCCCCTGCCCTCAGGCCCCAGTTCTTGGAGCTCTGAGGAGGAGAAGGAGAGGCAACCCCGGGGCCGGGGGGCCCACCGCCGCCGCTCCCACTCCCCAAACTGGCCTGAGGAGAAGCCACCCAGCTACCGCTCACTGGATGTCATCCCAGGCAAGAATGGCAGGAAAAAAGGGAATGTGGAGAGGCGCTCGGTGAGCCTGGGGCATCCTGCTGAGGGTAGGGCATGGGCAGAAAGGACCCTTCAGCCAGTCTTGGCCGCAGCGGACACAGGCCACCTCACATGCCACCGCTGAGGGTACCTCTTCCCTGTTTTGCACAGCTAGCCCTGTGGGCTTGGTGAGACACGTGTTATAGAGCTAGAAGGGACCTAGTGAGTGCAGAGGGCAAGGAGGTGCTGGATGCTTACCAAGGCCTATCTCATCCTTTCACAGATGAGGAAGTGAGGCTCAGAATAAGTAAGTACTAAGAGTATAGTAGAGCTGGGACTTGAACACTGGTCTTAATGGCTAAGGCTTTACTTCCTGTCACAGCTGTTTTGCTTTACTTAGCAACATATTTCCATACCCCAAATTAGAACACGTGGCCTGACAGAGGATGTATGTGCCACTTTGGGTGCAGCAAGTCAGTGTGCAAGACCCTGTCATATTCAAGGATCAGGTCCTCTGAGCCTCTCCCCCGCCCTTCTTTTCCTGGGAAAGGATCACTGATTTTTTTTAAAGACCAAATATGGGTCAGTACTTTAGGATTCAGTGAACAGGCAAAGTTGCCACTGGGTGGGAGTCAGCTTGCCAACCTAAAAGGGATGCTAAGAGGGATGTAGGCTTCTTGGGCCTGTGAATATAGACCATTTTTTAAAAAAGATCTGACTTTTAAAAATCATTTTATAATTAATATACCCAAATGATAGTATTCTCTTAATGTTGTTACTTTGCAAAGTTAGGCTGTCATTGCTCAAACAATATTCATGAACTGCCTTCAGAGCCAACTTAGAAGCTATCCACAAAAATATATTTCTCTATTTGACCAGAGTCTTTTTCTGTTTCAGTTCTGTTGAGGTAAAGGGATGTGTAGTCAGCTTGGAGAGAAGTTCCTAGAGTAGAAGGATATATTATAGGAACAAGAATATTAGTATCTGACACACTTTGAAGGATACAGCTCTCATTTGGAAATGCAGATTCTGCTGTAATTTGTTTAAAAACCAGTCACATGCATGGTGTGCACAAAGGAACAGGCACAGCGCTGGTCTTTCTAGGGAGGAACTTTGGTGAGAGAGTGATTTGTGAAGAAGGTAGTGAAGGCCTGCAGGCATTTCTGAAATAATCAATGACATATCATATTCTTACAGATGTCCCATGAGAGAGGCAAAGACCCATAATAATGAAGATCAGTAGTATCCTAAGTGATGCTGAGCTGTGGATATTTATGCTACATCTCACGTAGTCCTTACAACACCCTGTGAGATTTGTACTATTGTCTTCATTTTACAGTGGATATAACTCTTTCTTCCATGTTACCAGTAAGAAAATTACATCCTGAAAGAAAACACAGAATCAGTTAGAGCTGGGACAACTACTGTTTCTTTAATTATATAGTGACTAACCTGTCTCAACTTCATTTTAGCAGAAAAATGCAATTTAAAAGCCAGTTTTGGGCCCCAAATCCAAGCCCTTTTTTCTTTTAAGTTTCTTCTTGTCTTTATTTTCTTCTCTTTAAGTTAAATTATGAGGTTTCTTGTAAGTTAGAGAAGGGCGAAAGGAACACCAATTATGTTCCAGACACTGGGGTAAGCCCTTTTCAAGGCTTATTTCATATAACCCTTTCAAAGCCCTGTGAGGCTCAGTGAGATTAAGGAACACGTCCAAAGTCATACCTCCGATAGGAAGTAAAGCCAGAATTTGAACAGTCTTCTGACTCAGACCTGTGCCCTTTTCAATCATGCTGTGTGGGGAAATGATGTTTTCTGGTGACTTTATGTCTCCATTTTCTGAAAGCTTCCTTTATCATCCAGATGTACATACCAATTATTCTACCACAAACAAACTGTATTTTTGATTGTAAAGTTGCTGGTGAGAGGCAAAGATTTCACTGAAGATAATTTTAAAAGCCTTCATTGTTTTGTATGTCTCTGAGCTTATCTCCCAAAGAGCTATCACTTTACTTTAATCACATTCCACTGTCCACTCATATTCTGAGTGACCAGAGGCCCAGGACTAAAACTTGATTTGGAAGATTGGTTGGTCTGAAGGGCACAGTGTTTTGTGTGTAACTTGAATTTTGAATGCCTTTAGTGGGGCCAAAGTCTCCAGGGCCAAAGTATTACTCTTTTCTCTGCTTGGTAGGGCTGGATGCTTTCCACATACCTCCTTAGACTCTGAAGTCTTTGGAGTGTGCGGCTAACTTCAGAAGCTCTAATACAGTTGGGCCACTAGATGGTGATCTTTGATTATGTGTAATGTGAAGTTAGTTTACTCCTTGAGTTGAAAAGATTTACTACTATTGTCTAATATCAGGCTTTTAGCAGTTATAGCTTTACCATAACTTCTTTTTTTTTTTTTACGAAACTCTTATTAAAAACACTGTTAAATATTCAGAGCAATATGAATTAATCAAAAAATCTTTGGCTCACATGGAATCTTCTCTCTCAAGAATAATGCTTAACAAGTAGATACCAATAAACAAGGGCTTCCATGTAAATGATCTCATGGGAATGCAAAATAGATAAGAACTGTTCTCTGCCCAATACCCAAGAGAAAATGGAAGTTCTGTTGTGGAATCTCCCATTTGAATTCAGAACTAGGACACTGACCGAGACCTTCTCATTTTAGGCCTGCTGGTCTTTTTACTCCACCAAAGGCTGCAACCTCAGAAATAATAAGCAGCAATAGTAACATCAAGCTTTAAACCCCAGTGGTTTCAGACTGAGTGGCCCCTGTGTTTCTGGCTCCTTCAAATTGAATATCTTTCCAATCATGTACTATCAGAAAGGGCTCCTCAAGGCATTCCAGTTTGTTCCAAGCTTGGCCTGTACATACTTATTCTAAATACCCGTTCTAAGAGACAACTTCTGCATTCCTTCCTCTCCAAGCTAAATTCAAACTTTCTGTAGACAGTCTAGGGTTGTTGTTGTTTCTCTTTTTTCTCAACTCTTTGACTTAATAAAATTTTTTTTTTTTTTTTTAGAGCAGGATGCTTCATCTTCTCCTTTCAATAAAATGTCTATTCCTCGATAACGTCTAGGTTTTTCTTCGGCAAGCCCTGGACAAGTTCCTTTTCCCCCATTTTGTTGCTTTCCTTTGTGTCAGAGAGCATTCATCCCATAGCTTTTTTATTAGAAACCATGTGCCTAAAACTCACTTTCCTGATAAAATGGAAACACAAAATTTCTAAAAGCAGCAACATGAATATACATACATACATGAAGCATTTTGAACAATATAGTCTATCTTGCCATTTCAAATAAGATAAGAAAGGTCACATTCATGAACTACAGCTGTAGATATTCAAAACCTAAATAAAACAATCCCCTACAATACAAAGTTAGAGAAATATGAGGACTGTAAACCAGAGCCAAAGTATTACTCTTTTCTCCTCTGCTTGGTGGGGCTGGGTGCCCTCATAGAGCAAGTTGAAAAAGCCAAAAGACCAAGTGAAGTAATGTCTGAAGAAAAGCCACTGGGTTCGGTCAGGAAGAGGTAATTAGTGATCTTTGAAAAATAACTTCAGAGAAATACTAAAATATGAAGCTAAGCTTTTTAGACAAGGACTGAGAAGGAATAGTTCCAGAGAACATAAATAGGACAAGGAGAGCTGGCCGTGTCTTCATGAACGAATGGTAGAGAGACTGATGAATGGAACAGGGTACCTTTTTTTTTTCCAATGTAAGGGGGGTTTGAAGATGGTAAAAATCAGCAAAAGGCAGACTGAATGAAACTGTAAGAAATTTTCAGAAATTAAAGATGTTTGGGGGAGGCTCCAGAGAGGTAGGAAGGAAGAAAAACCTAACCCAGGAGGAGAGACTGGCTTCATGAAGAATTAAGAAATATTTTTTGTTTGTTTGTTTTATTTTATTTTATTTTTGTTTAAAATACTACAGATATCCCTTTTTCTCCCCAATGATCCATTCCACCCCATCCCATCCCCTCCCCAGTCCCTCTCCCCACCATTGTCCGTGTCCTTGGGTTGTGCGTATATGCATATAAATTCTTTTGTTAATCTCTCCCCCTCCATCCCCCCCACCCTCCTCCATCCCTCTGACATTCGTCAGTCTGATCTATGCTTCCATATCATTGAATCTATTCTGTTCATCAGTTTATTAAGTTCNATAAATTCTTTGGTTACTCTCTCCCCCTCCACCCACCCGCCCTCCTCCATCCCTCTGACATTCATCAGTCTCATCTATGCTTCCATGTCATTGAATCTATTCTGTTCATCAGTTTATTAAGTTCTTTAGATTCCACATATAAGCAAGATCATGTGATGTTTTTATTTCTCTGCCTGGCTTATTGCACTTAGCATAATTTTCTCTAGGTCCATCCATACTGTCCCAAAGGGTATGAGATTCTTCTTCTTTACAGCTGCGTAGTATTCCATGGTGTAAATGTCCCACAGCTTTTTTATCCACTCATCTACTGATGGGCACTTGGGCTGTTTCCAGATCTTAGCTATTGTAAACTGTGCTGCTATGAACATCGGGGTACATATATTCTTTCTGATGAATGTTTCAGGATTCTTAGGATACATTCCTAGGAGTGGAATCACTGGGTCAAAAGGCAGCTCCATTTTTAATTTTTTGAGGAACCTCCATACTGTTTTCCATAGTGGCTGCACCAGTCTGCATTCCCACCAGCAGTGTACTAGGGTTCCCCTTTCTCCACACCCTGGCCAGCACATGTCATTTGTTGATTTGTTGATGGCAGCCATTCTGACAGGTGTGAAGTGATACCTCATTGTGGTTTTAATTTGCATCTCTCTGATGATTAGCGACGTTGAGCATTTTCTCATGTGTCTCTTGGCCATCCGTATGTCCTCTTTGGAGAAGTGTCTATTCAAGTCCTTTGCCCATTTCTTAATTGGGTTGTTTGTCTTCCTCTTGCTGAGTACTATGAGTTCTTTGTACACTTTGGAAATTAGCCCCTTATCAGATACATCCTTGGCAAATATGTTTTCCCAGACCGTGGGGTTCCTTTGTATTTTGAGGCTGTTTTCTTTTGCTGTGCAGAAGCTTTTTAGTTTGATGTAGTCCCATATGTTTATTTTTTCTTTTGTTTCTCTTGCCCTAGGAGATGTATCAGTGAAAAGTCCACTACGTGGGATGTCTATGACTTTATTGCCTATGTTTTCTTACAGGATTTTTATGGTTTCGTGACTTACATTTAAGTCTTTTATCCATTTTGAGTTTATTTTTGTGTATGGTGAAAGTTGGTGGTCTAGTTTCATTCTTTTGCATGTATCTGTCCAATTTTCCCAGCACCACTTATTGAAGAGACTGTCTTTACTCCATTGTATGCTCTTGCCTCCTTTGTCAAATATTAACTGACCATAATGGCGTGGGTCTATTTCTGGGGTCTCTGTTCTGTTCCATTGATCTATATGCCTGTTGTTGTACCAATACCAGGCTATTTTGATTACAATGGCTTTGTAATACAGTTTTAAGTCTGGTAATGTGATCCCTCCCACTCTGTTCTTTTTTCTCAAGATGGCTGCAGCTATTCGGGGTCTTTTTTGGTTCCATATAAATTTTTGAAATATTTGTCTTATGTCTGTGAAATATGCTATTGGTATATTAATAGGAATTGCATTGAATTTATAAATTGCTTTGGGTAGTATGGACATTTTAATGATATTAATTCTTCCAATCCATGAGCATGGTATATTCTTCCACTTGTTTAAATCTTCCTCTATTTCTTTTTTCAGTGTCACGTAGTTTTCCGAGTACAGGTCTTTTACATCCTTGGTTAAGTTTATTCCTAGGTATCTTATTTTTTTAGTTGCAATGGTGAATGATACTATTTTTTTAGTTTCTCTCTCTGAAAGTTCATTGTTGGTGTATATGAATGCCATCGATTTCTGGATGTTGATTTTGTATCCAGCTACCTTGCCAAATTTGTTTATCAAATCTAGTAGTACTTTGATTGAGTCTTTAGGGTTTTCTATGTACAATATCATTTCATCTGCAAATAATGACAGTTTTACTTCCTCCTTTCCAATTTGGATACCTTTTATGTTTTCTTCCTGTCTGATGGCTGTGGCTAGGACTTCCAGTACTATGTTGAATAAGAGTAGTGAAAGTAGACATCCCTGTCTTGTTCCTGTATGTAATGGAAATGGTTTTAGTTTTTGCCCATTGAGTATGATGTTGGCTGTAGGTCTGTCATATATGGCCTTTATTATGTTGAGGTATGTTCCCTCTATTCCCACTTTGCTGAGAGTTTTTATCAGAAATGGGTGCTGGATTTTGTTGAATGCTTTTTCTGCATAAGAAATATTTTTTGGATTCAGATCTGCTCTCCCAGCAGCTACCATTCTCCTAGGATTTGCACCTGAATCAAAAACAACTTGTGTTTTGTATGCATAGATAACAGAGCAAAGCTGACTAGATTTTTTTGTGTTCTTCTGTCCCCCAGGAGAGAGACAGCTCCCATAGTGGAAGGAGTGTGGTCATTTAGTCACCGGGCGCAGCACTACTTCGGTGGCCACTTCTCAGTTCCCGCATGTCATCAGCATCACCTACGCTTCCAGGTGACTTGGGAAGGACACGGCAAGCCTGTATCTAACAAATTTAGATTCTGAGAATCAAATAGAAGAGTTTTAAAACAAGAGTTTAGGAATTAATGACTTAGCTTTAGCCTTGGTTCACACTCTGAATATTTAGATAGTCTCTGACTTGTACTGGACCCAAATGAGATGTGATTCCTCAAGAACTTAGTAGCCTGAGTCCTCAACTAGGTTACACTGCTCAGAACCGTGGCCATTCTCACACTGAGAACTCAGGAATCTTTAAGGAAAAAATCAAACATGTTTCAGGAGCAGGAAATCTATGGGGTAACTGTAGGGTAATTTCCGTGGGAACTTATCTCACTCTATAGCATATCTAGGGGGTCCCTCCCACCTTGCTGCCCATGTACCTGGTCCCGAGTACTCCTGAGGGCCCAGTAAGAGCTGGCACAGGAAATATTCCAACAGTGTTCTCTCTTATGAGCCATTTATTGCGAGTGTAGAAAATCAGAGAAGCAGTTTTGCACCAGCCTTACTCCTGTCCCTTGTTTTCCTCGTTCTTTTTATGTTTTTGCTTATATCTAATTTATATTTTTGTATATGGTATGTATCCATTAAAATCATTTAAAATGTTTCTTGAGAACAACAGAGTATATAAATAAGAAGGAAATAAAATGTACTGGTGTGAGGATTCTGCTCCAAATAAATACCTCCTTCAGTGCATTTGACTTAAGCCTTCTTCTCCACTGCAGCTCAGAGAAGAGCTAGGCCATCCTGGGTAGTTCTGGAGCTGCCTTTCTTCTGGCACTACTCAGCCTTCACAAGCAGAAGCTTCCAGGCAGGTTTTGCCACTCAGAGCTCCAGAAGGAGGGGGCTGTGCCTTCCCTGTAATAAGCTCTGCTACTCCCTCCTATTTTCCCCAGCTCCTTCGGAGGCTTCATGAATCCATTTGTGCTTGATGTAGAGACCCTCCTTGAGAAGAGTAGGAGATAGCCTGTGAGAAGGTGTGTTGTGTGTGTGTATGTGTGTATATGTGTGTGCTCCTCATCACTATCTTTATGTATATGGCCCCAAGCTCAATTTAGATCCTATTGTGCTGACATATCCAATCCCCCCCCCCGGTCTCATTAATTATATGTTGGGGGAAAAATAGGTTAAATGCCTGCTTTGGACAAAGGTGTCTTTGGGGTTTCTTATTTCCATAATGTAGCTGAGACTAAATTAGCAGGAAAAAATTAAAATTGTAATGGATAACGAGTACATCAAATTTAGTAGGTGAGGGACTTCTGGTCAGGGCAAGATGACATAGACCTTGTTCCCTGCTCCTCCTTGCTAAGCACAGCTTTATAATTCCTGGAAGTGGCACAAGAAATAAGCAAAGGAAAACTCTGAAGGGTGCTAAAAAGAAGGAAAGCTGGTTTGGAAACCCAGGACCAGAAGAACAACACAGAGGCAGGTCATTTTGCGTATCTCAATCAATAGAAGGTGGCCACCCAGACCTGGCATTTTTCTGACTTTTCATCTAGTAATAATAGAAGGTATCCCGGTAGCTCATTCTCCCCCCCTGGATCTAGTGGGAGTCCCTCTGACAGTCTCAGATGAGGGGAACCAGCTGGGAGCCTTGCCAAAAATAAGGGGATGCATTTACCTTCCCTGCTGGGCCTGAGAATCCTCTTTTTCCATGGAGAGATAACTGAGGTAGGTAGGAGGAACCAGTAAAAGGGACCCCAGGGAAAGCAGCTGGCCCAACTAGGAAAGTCTTTGTTCCCAAGGGTTGGAGACTTTCTTCCCCTGCTCAGAGACACTAGGCTGATTGGTGGAAACAGAAAAAAGCACCTGTCAGCTAGCAGCCCTGTAGCTAGCAGCCTGGTCCCAGAAGCCACTTTATCTCCATGGAACTGAGACACTCCTCCCTGGTTCAGAGAAACCTGTGTAGCTGGAGGGTACCAACAGAAGGATTTCTCCACACCCCTCCCTCGCCAAGAAATACCTGGCAGTCCAGCCAGAGAAAATTCCTCCCACACACTCATTAACAGAGACCAGTGCAAACTCTAGCAGCACTGGATACATCAAACAGACCAAAATAACACCACAAAGACATTGAAAATCAAACTGCCATTGGGCTGTACAAAAGTAGGCTAATAATCATATGCTAAATCTAAGTAAAGTAACTCCCTGTAAAATAAAATATTTAAGTAGGACCCAGAGTGTCCTAACGTGATAGACAAAATGTCCAGATACAAACCAAGAAAATCACAACTTGAATAAAAATTTAAATCAACTGATGCCAACACTAAGATAAATCAAATGTTGGAGTTATCTGATAAGAATTTTAAGGCCGACATGATAAAAATGCTACAATAATGATAAATTCTCTTAAAACAAATTAAAAAAATAGAAAATCTCCAAAAAGAAATAGAAGTTATGAAAAAGAAATAGGAATGAAAAATACAATAGAAATAACTAGCTGAATAGGCTCAATAGTAATACGGAGATGATGGAGGATAGAATTAATGAACTTGAGGACAGAACAATAGATTTCACCCAATCTGAACAATAGAGAGAAAATAGACTAGAAAAAGAAAACAGAGCCTCAGGACCTCTGGGACAATTAAAAAATATCCAACATTCGTATCATTGGAATCTTAGAAAGTAGAGAAGAAAGAATGGGGATGAATGAGCATTTGAAGAAATAATGGCTGAAAACTTCCCAAGTTTGATGAATGACATCAACCCAGAGATCCAAGAAGTGGAATGAACTCTAAACATGATAAACTCAATCCATGCCAATTCATCATAAAATTTTGAAAACTGAAGACTAAGAAAACACCTGAAAGCAGCCAGAGAAAAACAATGAACTCCTTGTAGGGAAACACCAACTTGGATGGATTTCTTATGTGAAACCATGAAGAAGGAAATGGCAAAATATTTTTAAGTTCTAAATGAAAAGAACTGTTGACCCATAGTTCTATATCTGGCAAAACTATCTTTCAGAAATGAAGGGAAAATAAAAACACTCACAGGTGAATGAAAACTAAAAGATTTTGTGACTAGCCAAAGTATCCTTGAAAGACTGGCTAAAGGAAATTCTTCAAACAGAAAAGAAATGGTAAAAGAAGGAAACTTTGAGTATCAGGAAGCAAAAGGGAACAAGAGAAAGAGCAGAAACATGAGTCCATACGGTAGACAATTCTTTTCCTTATGGGTTTTATAAGTCATATTTGATTATTGAAACAAAAATTATAATATCACCTAATAGTCTAAACAATGATATTTAAAGGTGGGGAATATAAAGGGACCTAAATGGAAGTGAGGTTCCCATACTTCATCTGAACTGGTAAATGTAGATACCAGTACATAGTTATAAGTAGCACCCAGAGCAATCACTATGAAAACTATAAAAATTCAAAAGTGCTATAAAAAAAAATCAAGTAATCTGCAGAAAGATGAAGAAAGAACAGAGCAACAAAAGCCAGAAGAAACATATAGAAAATAAATAATAAAATAGCATCCTAACGTGCAAGCATATCAATAATTAACTTAAATGTAAATGATCTAAATACACCAATCAAAAGACAGAGATTGGCAGAGTGGATTTTAAAATAACCCCACCCAACTATATGCTGCATATAAGAAACTCATTTCAAATTCAAACACTGGTAGGTTGAAAGTAAAAGGGTGGGTAAAGATATAACATGTACAGATTAATAATTTAATTAAAAGAACAGTGGAAACATTAATATTTCATAAAGTAGACTTCAAAGAAAATTACTAGAGACCAAAAGGGATAGTATCTGCTGAATAAAAAAGACCAATATGCTAGGAAGACACAATATACTAATGTGTACAAATTAAACCACAAAGCCTCAAACACATACAGCAACAACTGATAAAGCTGAATAAGAGAGAGATCTATGATCATCGTCAGAAATGTCAACACCTCTTCCATCCAGCAACTGATAGAACTATTAGGCAAAATATCACAAGGATATAGATGATCTGAATGACAAAATCAATCAACAGGATCCAATTGACATATATGTAACAGGTCATCCAACAATAGCAGAATACATTTTTTCTCAATTGCCTGTGGAACATTTACCAAATAGGAAAAAACCATAAAACAAACCCTGACAAATGTAAAATAATTGAAATCATACAGAGTGTGAGCTTTGACTATAATGGAATCAAACTAGAAATCTATAACAAAGGCAACAGGAAACCTTCAGAACACTTGGAAACTAAGCAACACACATAAATAATTATGGGTCAAAGAAATCTCAAAAGAAAAAAGTACATAGAAATAAATGCAAATGAAAGCACAACATATCAAAGTTTGTAGGATGCACTAAAGCATTGCTGAGGGAAGTTTATAGCACTAAATGTCTATATTAAAAATGAGGAAAGGTGTCATATCAATAACTTAAGTACTTACCACAAGAAACTAGCAAAGTAAGCCAAAGGAATGAAATAATAAAGATAAGAGCAGAAAATAAAATTGGAAATAGAAAAACTAAAAAAACAAGAAACAAGGAAATAAGAAGCTGGTTCTTCAAAACATCAGTAAAATTGATAAAGCTCTAGCAAGACTGACAAAAAGAGAACACAAATCACCAATATTAGGAATGAAATAGGAGAGATCATTCCAGGTACTGCAGCCATTAAAAAAAATAAGGGAGGGAGTACTACTACGAACAACTGTATGCTGATAAATATGAAAACTTACAAGAAATGAAACAATTCCTTAAGTACCAAAAACTGTCAAATTTAACTAAGTTAAAGTAGACAATCTGAATAGTCCTATAATCATTAAGGAAATGGAATTTTTATTTATTTAATTTAAGAAAATGGAATTTTTAATTAAGAAGCTCTCCAAAATGAAATCTCAAGGCCCCTATAGTCTCACTAGAGAAGCCTACCAACTCTTTAAAGGGTAATTAACACTAACTTTACATAATCTCTTCCATAAAATACAAGAGGAGGAAAT